ACAAGTAGTTTCCGGTGAAAAGTTTTACATAACCCTTGAAGTCAATGAAACCGATTGCGATAAACATGTCACTGACTTGAAGCCGTGTAAAGTTATCGTAAGTATCCATACATTTGTACCATTTATTGAACATTTATTGCTTTAAAAACACTAAATGTAATGAATACTAAATTGTATAGAGGAGTGAAGTCTGCACTTCTGTGGTATTGTCTCGTTATTGGGATCCGACCGACAAAAATCAAATTCTGTCCTTCAATTGCAATGGATTCTAGTTTTCTGAATAGGATTTAAATTTATTAGGACTTTATTTTTTTAATTTTAATTTAGGACTACAACACATTTGTATTTTACACATTTTGTATATAAAATAAAGTTAAATTTTTAAAAGCATTTTGTTAAAATTTGAATCTATTTACACATTGAAAAAGAGTCATAAGTATTTACACATATAATAGTCAATAAAACTCAATTATTTGTAAACTTTAGAGAGTTATTAAAAATATAATTTTTAATAATAGGTAATTTTAATTGTGTTATCATAACAAATACCATTACAATAACAATTACTTTAGATCACAAGTGAATAAACATCAATTCACGTCTACGTCAATGATATTGACACAAATTTAATTAAAAACCCACAAAACACTGAATAACTATAGCATTGAAGCCTTAACTGGTATAAGAATACTGTAACAGAATATTCTGTACGTATTGTGGATGTCATACAAATAGCACACATTGTTTGTGAACGTAATGCAAACGCATGTAAACATTGAATGACTGAATGACTGATTATTTTGAGTGAAAACTTCAAAACTGATGACAAGTTTGAATGCAATTTAAATTATGATTTAAATGAAAAACAGGTTTTTATACCAAAGATATAAATCAAATGTTAATTCATTGAATGAATAATTAGTTTCACTTTCAATGCCTTCACTTACGATCCGTTAATCCAAAGCTATTTGAGAGTCAATTGAATCGCAACCCAAATGTCGTCCAAAAGCAGGACAACCATTGATTTCTTGTGTTTGGATGAACTGACGCTTGTCTTAAGACATCTGAGTGTCACTGAGTTGTACCACTGCCTCCATGTCTGTCCCCAATGGCACTCAACTATCCGCCAGTTGTTGTCCACCCAGAAATCGGTGACCCTTTGCCTCAACGATATCAGTCACTACACAAATGAAGGTCTCCTCAATCCATCACTCATTTGATCCATTAATTCATATTTTTCTGCCACAGAATTGAGCGAAAAATGTGATAATAAGCGCCATTTGGCTGTCAATTCATCGGTGGGTCGACTCATAAAGAGCAGGCAATCCCTCCTCAGCGCCATAACTACTCCTAAATTCAAAGACATTCAAAACGATTTGTTCCCACTTTTGACTGACTTTTGTCCAAACATTCAGTCACTAGATATCAGTCAGTATTTAATCGGTGTGTCAGACATGGAACAGATCTTAGCTGTCTGTCCACGACTGCAATGTCTTTACGTGTATTCAGAGGACAGTAATTGGACCCAATTCTTGAGCCCCACCACTGCTGGTTTGTATTCACTGTACTTTTCACTAGTTTTTTATCACTCAATATATGTATCTATGACTCGATGTTTAGGACTCAAACACTTTAGCCTCAAGTTATCGTCGGAGACCCCCATATACGGGGTCCGCGAAACACCATTTGATGTCCAGAAATGCCAAATGAGTCCACAGATTGAAGATTTAGTGCTAATAAGACC